AACCCTTCATTCAAGCAGCTCTGTTCCTACTTTTATGGCTTAGTTGCTCTGAAGGCAATGGGAGGGGGTGGGGGGGAAATGTTTTGGTGGAAAAAATACCTACTTTTTTTCCTTAAATCTGAATAAGAGTTTTTTGGGTTTTCAGCGGATATCCCTCTCATAAGTCAAGCAATTCATCAAAGACATCCAAACAAAATTACAGGCTGTGGTGGTATCTCTCTTTTTCACCTGATAAGACAGCAACAGAAGCACAGGATGGTTTCTATCAGGTTACCTCACTTAGTATAGCTTTTGACAGCCTGGCTTGTCTGGCCCTCCCCTCCCCCATTCTCTTCCCACATATGCTCTTTTCAGTATCTCTTTGTATCTGAGTAGCCTTTTTTTACTCCCGTTTACTCTGTTGTCTACTCTGCGTGCTCTCCCGCTCCAACTGTCCCTATTTCTTGTTATCCCATTGCAGTCTATGGTCACTGAGATATATATAGTTTTTGAAGAGTGAATGAGCACACTGGTTCTCAAAAAAATTTGTTTTTCTTCAATAGCACAGGGATGTGAGATGGTCATAAATAATGCAGAAATGTTCACACCTGTGTACTTGTATGGAGACTGCATTTGTAGTTTCTCCTGACCCGAAATGCATTTTCTACTGTCATGCCCATTAATCAGACATATACTGCATCCTTGAAATCTGTACAGAAATCTAGTCGAAGTATAGAAACTGTTTACGCTGAAGACTTACATTTATTCGGTTCGCGTAAATTTTTACACCTTGGAAAGTAAAATCAAAGCACAACAAAAAAACTGAGAAAGCAACTGGCTCATGTTGTCATTTTGAAACACTAAAGTAAAAGAGAAAGTGAGGAGGAAAAATTAACACTAAACTGTGCTGTTCTAATTACATTATGCAGATGTAATGACAACATGTCATTCAAAAAGGGTTTCTATATAATCTCTAAACATACAGTGGAAACCACCAACAATCACAGCTTTGCATTAATTGTCTAAACACTGTAGCATACTAAGTGCAAGATAACAAAAACAATGTTTAATTTAAAATTATGAAAATTTCAAAATCCTGCTTGCCAGTTCCAAGCTTAGCCAAAACGTAAATGGCATTCAAGAAGACAATGAATTAAATTTTGTTTAATGTCCCTTTCCACGGATTCTAATTTACATTGCATTTTTAACAAAACCGTTGACCTTATAAATGCTGGCATTTGTACAGCTTCAACAGAGTAGGGTTTAATCATGCTTTTCCAAAGCCATAAGGGAAAATGTTTTAACTGTGCTCGTTGGATATGGACTACGAACAAAAACACTGGGATTGGTCAAATGTTTATTCTCACTGCTTCCGAAAACAGCCTGACAAGAAGATGTAAAGGTCTAGGGAATAACCCATCACTGTTCCTAGGGTCTGGTAATAATCATACATAATCATTTGGAAATATAGCTAATAAGAAATATAATGAATGTTAAGCAAAATCGGCATTAGGCACAAATTACATGATATTAATAGTTGAACAGGTGCAGAAAGGCGCTTTAAATGAGGTAAATGAATAAAATGTCCCAGAGCACAACTGTGTGCACTGACAAAAAGTCAATCACATGAATTATTCAACAACTGAAGCTGCCAGCAAAGGTCAGCTTTCTTTGACCTTTGTGACAGGAAGTGAAAGGAAGCAATGTTGACTAAGAAAACTGAAATCAGTCTTCAGCTACTATGCTTCTATCACTTAAAAACTTAAAAGGACCTTAAAACACAGATTTAGATGAATTAAAAACATTTTCTCGCTACATTCAATAGTACGTTCCTAAGTAAAAGTACCTGAAACAATCTTTGCCTTTGTCAATAATTCTGTCAAATCGCACGGAAATTATGATATTTTACGCTGCTGCATAAGCATTGAAAAATTATAACNTTTTTCATACGTTCTGAGGTCAATGAAAATATTTTAGAAAGCAGCGGGCTTGAAATTCTGTAACAGCTGTTGAACCTAACTAAACTTTTCACTAAACTGAAGCCATTCCAATCTCTCCAAGAGAGAGAAAATGGGATAAACAGATGTCTGGCTGCTGTACAGAAAATAGGACACACTTGGAATGATAAGTCTGCTGAACTCTGTGCAGAAATGCCAGCTCTATAGGGGATGCCAGTTACTACTAGTAAAGATGCCAACTTGCTATTTGACTGCACTGGTGCCACTGGGAAAATTGTGCTGTGTGTGCTATCGGTAATGTATCGTGAACCCATTAATATATCCCAGCACAGCTACCACAGCTCTCACCAGCCCGTTGCTGTGCTGTGTTGTGATTGTAATATAATCCTGCCTCCTCTTGTCTTCCTCAACAATCAGTCTTTTCAATTTTCAACAGTTGGACATTGCATCCATCTACATTGAACCCACACAGGGAAGGAAAAGGCAAGAGGATGTACCTTTCCAGGAATTTCCGCAGTTAGCAATAAAATACCTTATGATAGCACAGAGGAATTATTTTAGCCAGATCACGGTTTCAGTTTTAACAGTTTCTGCAGCATCCTGTAATCATTTATGACCATCAAAATGTATGGGTGAAATATAATTTATCTTTTTCAGATTTATGATATATAGACAATGGGTGTTCTTAATAAAGAACATCTGCTTTTATGTTTTTCCAGAAAACATTATTTTACTATGAAAATGATATTCTCATCCTGCCCAGCAGTACAACAAAGAAAGTGTGTTCTTTCTTCTCCCCCACTGATTCATTTTAGGTCAAAAGACTTTCCCTTAAACAGTTTATTTGCAGTAAGCTGCTATGTCATTTCTTTTTTTTTAACCTAACGATGGACAATGACTTTGATTTACGGAACACTGCTTGGACTTGAGCTGGAACAAATGTGTGGTCATAGATCTCAATTCAAGATTGAATTATTGGTTCATATCCCGAGGACAAATATGCCTTATCTGTTCAGAACCTGCTAAATGTGTCCGAGGGCAAAAAGGAACTGGTAGAGCGTGCTCCCTGTGATTCCTTTTAGAACCAACTAGCCAAGTGATGAGATTGCTCACCGGGGATCTCTAAGCCATGCAACAAAACAGGGGGGAAAAAACACTGCGAATGCAGGTTCCCACTTTAACTTTTTTTAGCGTGAAGTCGTGCAGTACCGATATTCCTACCGTGTATTTCTAATGTTCAACCCATGTGTTAACCTCTGACTGGACATGTAACAGTTTTCCAGAATGCCATGTCAAGGTAAAAACTTTTCCAGTCTTCTTTTTGCTTTTTTTAAAAAAAAACAATTCCACTGAAACAGAGCTTAACAAATATGATTAAAGCTCTACGGGTTCATCGCAGTACTTGGTATACGTTGCTCCGTTTCGGTTAATTACAATTCTTACATAAGCAATTGTTTTTGTATACTTCAAGTAAATTTAGAAACATGCAGCAGATTGCTCATAAATAATTTAGTGTTTTAGGCATTTGTGCTAGTTATACAGTAAACTGCACAGCAGTTATTCTTACGAGTCATTAATATGTTTTGCAGCAGTTTTCTTAGCCACGAAAATATAACTATTTTATAAAGGACAATAAGACAATGTAAGAGAAAAACGGACAATGCTCACGCGCTTGTGTTTGACTATTTGGGAATTATTCATCCACCGATATTTTAGAAATAAACGTTCTGATTACGTTAGATAGAAAATATTCTTTTTAAGAACAAAATCCTATGCACTGTGCGCATCAGATTAAAATATTCAATCTTTTTATTTTTAGGATTTACAGTACAAAATTTAATTCTAGGATTCAAATCGTCTTATTTTATTTCTCCCTATGGAACACAGACTTCTGTTTCGACAACAATCATATCGTGACTTAGAATTCCATCAAGGTTGATCAGGCACAATCAATTCGTAACATTAACGTGTGTGTTCAAATAATATCTGCCCGGCAGAGATGCTCAGGGAAACACCACGAGTTATGAAATGTAAAATCATCCGCCGAACTTCTCCTACACCATAACAATGAAATCAATAATGCAAATTACACAGTATACGTCCAGTATATTTACTTACAAAATTCACTTGACAAACTAAAACAATACTTGTGCTATATGGTAATTACAGACAATATGTAGAAATTCTACCTTAAGTCTTTGAGGCTAGAAACACTAAAGACAAATATAATTGTATTGATTTTTGTACACCAAGTTCTTCAAACTGTTGAACCTGCCTTCAATTGCCTGACACAATCCCAGAGTGATGGCAACAACTGGCCAGCCCTATTTGATTACTAATAAGAAAGATGTCCCCTCTGTCAGATAGCTAACATTCTCCACTAAGCAAACAGCTATTCCAGCTAGTCAAACATTAGCATTGCTCTCCACTGGTGGTGCATATTTCGTCAGGCTTAACTTAGGGTCTTTTCCTGGTTTAATTTTCAGACACTGGACACCAAAGTTCATGATCAGAAGATACCTCAGTAATGAAAGCAGCTGAAACTCTATCCTTGTTCAAAACCGACTAAAGCTTTGAATGAGAAGCAAGTTATCATATTTACACTTTCCAGTAACTTTTATTGTACTGTATGTGGCAACAGCGATTTTGTAGAAAGATAATGCCATGAATCTTTCAGCAAGATGAATTTGGTACTAACAAAACAGACCAATACCTAACAAAGCACTGAACCAATGGGACAACTAAAAGTAGCATAAAATATTTGTGAGTTGGTAAGAAACATTTTAGAACACATATCTGCATTTAAAGCCACCACTCTCTGGGTATAAAATACTCCTCACAGTGAGAATGGTGGCAGATGAAACTGCTTCCCCTGACAACTCACAAGCAATTACTGAATCCCCACAGAGTGAGCCACCAGGTTTCCAAGTCAACCCACCTGTGCATGATAACACAAAAGGATAACAAATGGAACAATGCACAGAATGAACTGAACGCAAGGCTAAGGATCACGGTGGCACGAGGCATCGAGCATGAATACGAAAATGAAATAAACTTTCCTACCTGTCAATAATAACGGGGTCTGAAGGAGTTTCGTTCCTGTTGCCGCAACTTTTCTTGTCACAGCATCGGCTGCAAATAAAAGAATTAAAAGTACTCTTAAAAGAAAATCCTCAATTCCCATCCCCCTCCCACCTTTGCTTGATCACATTCAGTAAACAAGCGCAGCAATAGCAATGTTAACGGATTGAAAACAACATGTTGTGATGTGTCTTTGCGTTGATCTCAGAAAAGAAGCAGGAGGCATGAGAATACATTTTCACAGCTTCCTCTTTTGTTTACCTCTAATTGTCAAGCTGTTATTTCTGGAGAAGATGCAAGGTGCCACTTTCTACCAATTTTTCCACAAGCATTTATTAATTGGATCTCTAACAGTACGCGTGTAGCCCTTTCTGATACTTTGCTTGAAAAAAATTGTCAAATATATGTTTTTGAAATTGAATTCAAACAGGAATAGGGCAAATATAATATGTGTTTGTTTCATAGTTGTATAATGGTTACATGTCTAAATTGGCTAAATTAACACCATATGGTAGGCAAAGTATATAAAGCCCTTTAAAGCTGACAGCTAAAGTGATTAAAGAAAGTCTACAGTCTTCCACTTACAGCTTAAATCACATCTGTGCTCTCTTATGTTAATTGCAATACATGCAGTGGTGGATAATAAAGAAATTTTACTTTATTGGTTGTAATTTATATTTATTACCTGATATAAGGAAAACTCAGCTTTGTACATTAGCACTGTTACAGTATGTTTTAAGTGAAATGACATTAAGCAATAAGCATAATAGCTAGGAATAGTATGCCCCTTAGAGTATGATACCTGTACTGTAGCCTGAGATCCGAGCTTATACTTCCTGATCAGCTATGTTCTAACAAGCAACTATATTTCATATTCAACACATACAAAATCAATGATGCATTTTTATTTCCCTTGTTGGGTGAAACTCTTATGGCAGTTAGAAAAACAGGTGGGAAATTGCTCTTCTGACACAAATCCTGGTGATGTGCACGGTATCTAACAACAATATGAACAATGCATCACTGCTTTAGAGAAAAGGTTAACTGACAGTATCAAAATCAATTCTCACATACATGAGCTCAATAAGTACAAAGAGTTTCCTTTTTTTATCAATAACAGATTATGGTTTATCTGTGTCTCAGAGTAGTAAAGAAGAGGGGTAGTAAAATGATATTCGAGTGATCTGTGACTCCTATAGCATCACTGACAGATGGATCAACTGTGACCTGTTTTCGTTGTGTGTGTGTTTTTTTTAGTCTAAAAAGAAAAACTATATAAAAGTCGCAGGAGTGGTATATTAATCTGATCCAGTGAACAGCCTATTGGGGGGGGGGGGGGGGGTTACCTGATTAATGCTCAAGACAAAAAAAAAAGTAGATTATTCAGAATGGAAGAACATAAACTTGAATGCGTTTGAGATCAAGTGACCAAAACTCCATCCACTCGACGTGGGGGTGAAGCTCTGCTGAAGAACTCGCACTAAAAAAAAAAAAGAAATGTAGATATTTCTGTGCGGCACAAATTGCGCTCTTTTAAAATCGCTTTGCAAAAAAAAAAGCGCCCGTTATTTATTTATTTTTTTGGGGGGGTGGGGTGTGGGGGGGGGTGTGGGGTGTGGGGGGGTCGTTTTGACGTTTGCGGTTGAGCGGGACCCGGCAATTGAGACGTCTGAACTTTTCGTGCGGGTTCGCTTTATGCGCCATTCGCGTTCGCTAAACGTCTTCTCTCACCTGCACATAATTTCGTGTGTGAGAAGCACTCGGCACATTTCGGGGTTTTTGTCTTGTCCTTCGTATATTATCGCCTAAAGAAGAGAAAAAAAAAACGTTGGCCCCCCCAACGAACAAAAAAAACCATCCAAACAAAAAAAAAAGAAAAGAAAAGAAAAAAAAAGAAAGAAAGAAAGAAAGGAAGAAAACATCAGCCATTTGACACGGGACAAGTTTACGTTAATAGCCATTTAGCGCAACCGCTGATACTTCGGATTGTGCGGAAAAGTCATTGCAATTTCAACCGTTTCGACTCCAAAAAAAAAGAGAAAGAGAGAGAGAGAGAGAGAGAGAAGAACCCTCGAAAAACACGGAGAGAGAGCGGTGGCTTCTCCGCCCGTGAGACCCCCACCCCCAGACCCCCCCACATTCGCGCAAATTCCCGCAGTGGCTCCGAAAAGAGCGAAGAGGCGCAAAAAAAGAAGAAAAAAGGCGCCAAAGTCATCCCCCCCTCTCTCTATCTCTCTCTCTCTCTCTCGCACCCGTTATTCCCAATCCCACCTTCATCTCATTCGGTTCGAAATTCCGGGTTTGTTTGGGGTTTTTTTTTGGGGGGGGGGGGGGGAGATGGAGGGTCGGTTTGGGTTTTTTTTGGGGGAAGGGGTTGTTTTGGGGTTTTTTTGGGGGGAGGAGGGGGTTGTTTGGGATTATTGTGAAACCAGGTGGACAATAGTTGCCATTAATCCACTTGTCGTGTTAAAAACTCGTGTCGCAGGGCAGCGGCAGGAGGTGGTGCGCGTTATAAAGGGGCGAAAGGGGGTAACATTGCCACTGAGTGTCACCTCTCGACACAACCCCTCGTGGGTACACATTCACACATTGGGTCAACTTACTTCGCAACAACTCTCGTCTTTATTCTACTTGAGCTAATAGACCATCGCTTGTGTGTGTGTGTGTGTGTGTATATATATACACACACATATACTACACTATATGGAGTATATTTGTATAGAATATTATTCGGAGGGCGTCAGGGCAAAGTTTTAGATTGTTAGGAGCAACGCAATTTGGATGTTGTTATTGTTGTTGTTGTTGTTGTGTGTCGGGCTGCCGTGTTTGCCTTTCGAACCCCCCCGCCACTCCCCCCCCAATAAAAAAATGATATGGAGATGAAGGGGTGGGGGGGGGGAGGGATGGGATGGTGAGGGGGGGGAGAGCCCGGCGATTAGTTCTCGAGACGAGTTCGCGGAGCGAATCTGGTGTTTATTTTTCAATTACACACAATGATTTTTTCCTAAAAAGACAGTCTGGGAGTACGGTTGAGTAATTATTGAGCATTCGTTCTCTAACAGCAGCCAGATGGTGTGAGCTCTAGGTGTGTGCGTCCTCTTCCCCCCACTAGCCTTTCTCCCAGCGCCTCTTCTCCAGCGAACACAGTGCAATTGCAGTGCACATACACACACACATATGCACACATATGCACACACACATACACACACATACACACACATGCACACAGACACACACACACACGCCGTAGCTTTTTTACAACTCAACTGAGCGCATCGGATCTCAGCTCCAAGCTGTCTGCTCCCCTTGTTATTCATCTAACAAGATTCACTCTCCAGCATCCAACCCCATCGCTGCTCTCACTCACTCACTCACTCACTCACTCACTCACTCACTCACTCACTCACTCACTCATTCACTCACTCACTCACTCACTCATTCACATTTGCAACAAACAGCTCGGGATCTTTCGTTTCTTGTTGTGCTGTCACTTAAAGTACAACCCATAAACTTAAGTTGGGGTTATCTGTGCGTGCGCTCCCCCCCCCACTCCATTCTTGGTAACACCTTCACTCTCCCCTCCCACCCACCCATTCCCCCCCCCCCCCCCCCCCATGTCCATATGATTTTGTTGGAGATTGGCAGGAATGTATTTTGTTTCACGAAAGCCGAATTCATATCGGAGCTGTTCAGCGCTGCTGACTCCTGGATCAGTTACACAGAGCTCTTTGCCCATCAATGAGGAGAGTGGGGAGATTAGACGCTTCTGAAAAGCCTTGTTTACAGCACCATTAAAACACTCAGAGGTATTATGGCTTAAATGAACAATGTTATCTTTCAAAATAACGATAGCCTCTTCATACCCTACTTCGCGCAGGCAGTGAGACTTTCCTCTCTCACCCACAGCCCCCCTCCCCACACACACTTTTTTTTTATCAATGAGGTCGTTGGCAATCCCTGAAAACATTCAGCTATTATGCACGAGGGGTCTGTGGAGGGGGAGAGGGGAGAGTGGGGGAAGACATTGTCAATTTAAAAGCACTGAAGAACGAACGCTAAATGGATTTTCAGAGCTATTGAAATAATTGTTGCGTTGTGGGTTTTCTCGCAAGTTCTCAGCTGCTTGACAGACAGGCAGTCTCTCAGTGAGGACAAAACTTTCGTCATGTGCGGGTCATGTAATGGTTAAAGTTTATTTTTTTTAAAACAAAGAAAGAAAAACACGTAGCTCGGAAACTTTGGAGGTTGCACGTATAAAATCGCTATGTGATCGCGGGCTTCATTTGCGAATGCGTATTTTTTAAATATATATGTATATATATATATAGAGAGAGAGAGATCCTGCGATTGCAATGAAACGAAAACAAGCTTTGTGAAGTCCTCCCCCCCAAAAAAAAATTGGGTTAACAATAAGAACAAGGAGCGAAAAATAACGGGACCGCTTTAGAGAGGGCACCGTTATTGGTATTTTTAAAGGAATGTTCATTGCTTTATTATGCTTACATGTCGGGGATAATACCATTACAGTGTAAGTGTGCAATAAAATTCATTACCGGGATGGCGAGGTATAAGGCCACTATGAAATGTGAGAGTAAAGTGCCGACTCCCGTGGCTAATTACTGTGCAGCAGTTTTGATCAACTGCAGTTATCATCTTTGAAGTTGCAGAAGACAGGCTAAATAATTTAATAAGCAACTGCCTGTAATTATGTTATTTACAAGGTTTGACAGACAGATGATAAAGAAATACAGCTGATCTCAGGGAATGGACGGTTTTGTGACCCCTGGCGCACCCCCTCAATGCTACAGCTTCTGGGCAGGGACAAATGTAGGGCTGAATTATGGTGAATGGGGCTGAGAGGTGAATTTGAACTGGAGGGGAATAAGATGACTTTTCACCTGATCGCATTTAACTCAGTAGACAAATGGACATGCCAACTGCCAGATCATCTAATTTGACAAAAATCAAATCACACCCTGTTTCAGAACGTGTGAGTCTATTAGACTTAACACCAGGCCTCCTCAGTTACACAGCATGTTATAGGACTTATATATATATACACACACACACACATTATTATATAGATATATATATATATTTCAAGACTGAAACGCAACCCGCAAGATTAATGTAAGACTGAAAGACTGTGTTTTTTTTCCTAAAGACCGATATCCCTCCCTAAACACACAGCACACAGTACGCTCGAAACTGTCTTATATCGAGCGCTGTTTTGTGGTGGGTTCGTGGGAGAACATCAGTTGTAAACTTTCTCAAGACACAAATCAAAACTTTCCGACTCTTCTCACCTGTTTGGTCATAGAATCGATGAGTCTAACATAGAGATCCTGTTCTGTTCGCACCCCTAAAAATAAAGTAAAATGAATTGTAATGATACTTTAATTTTTTTAAAATATATATATGCATATACGCTTATCAACCTCTGTTGAGGATGGTATCAACATCGCGGTGCCAAAAAAATATAAAGAGCCTCGGGACAACTTTATTATATTACGATACTAAGAGCGAGCTGTTATTTCGGCTGATAGGGAAATCTTGTGCTGCCATTGTAGTGCACACAATAAAACGAGCTGATGGGAGGCGATAACACGTGAATAAAATACCCGCGAGTGAAATCAAAAAGGGTATCACAGGAAATTCGCGAGTCATCCCTTGAAATGTAATTGTTAATTTCATAGGTTGGGTTTGAAACGCGGAGTTTCAAGGAGTGCAGTGGAGCGGAGAGGACAGCGCTTCTCCTTGTGTCAACTTGTCTGGTCTCGGACTTGGTGTATATATATTTTTTACGTGATTTGCCAGACATTCGTGTTACTCGGACTCTGGATGTCCTTTACACGTCGGATTCTGATATTCGGATCGGGGGAAATCCGTGTTCCACGACGGAGAAACGACACGATCACGAGATTGTCTCTGATTTTAGTTGAATTTGTTTGAAAGCCGACTCCTACACTGAGTGTCCCGCGGATCGTGTCGCCGAGACACGAAACCGTGCAATATTATGTATTTTAACAGAAAAAAATAACAAGGACTCTGCTCTGGACATTCTGGGCAGAACAGCATTTCACCTTTTTTTAAGTTAAAACGTCCGATTGATGGATAGATCACCGCCGCGTTATATATTGCGTGTGGGTTTTTTTTTCTTGTACAGTCAAAAATGCCCGAGAAGGCGTTAAAGTTACCTAAAAAAGTGACTTAACGTGAGCCGGGACTCCACATCTAAGGCAAAGACCAAACTTATACATACACATCCGTGGAACAAATCGGTGCAACTTACCATTGCTGTACAATAACTGAAGTTTGTAATGTATTCCATTATTGGTTTTCTCGTTGTTTGGCTCCTGAAAACAAACAACATACGTTAATAATTACACTGTTCATTGTATCACACAGGCCATTTTTCTGTGCCTCTGCTCAAATATTACTGAATCGCCTTGAATGCAAAACAATATCTGTAGGCGACTGCGTTTCAGGACAGCGTCCAGTTTCACGAGTTCTTGCATTTCAGCAAAAGAGCACATTTAGATTCAGTCCTTCTTCTACTAAAATATTGACCCAAAAAAGTCATAAAAAGGCACTTATTTTTCTGAGCAGCCGAAAGCTGTTGAAATAACAAGCATAACTACACGTGGTTTGGGCTCCCATCGAGTACCGTTATGCCTGTTAGTTAACTGAGCACTTAAAAGACCCCCACCCCCACCACCACCACTCCCCCTCCCCACACGCACACACACACAACACACACCAAAATATAATGCATTTCTACAGTGAGCAACTTACTTTCTCTTTCTCCACAAAGTCCACAAAAGCTGTTCTTTCGATCTCCACTGGCTGTCCCTGCCTGTCGTAAAGGGCCAGGACGAAGTGGAAAAAATTGGATTTTCTGAGGTTTGAGGGCGGCTGCTTTTCAAAATGTGCCCGAGCCAAACCCACACCGCTGCGGGGGAAACAATAACACAGTGTATCGGTGAGAATTAGCTGCACTGGAGACACAGAGAGCAACTGATGAAAAACATGGGAGATGGGAATCACGTTTGGGAGGCGAGAGAGATTGCTCGATTTGTGGCTAACAGTGATGCGATGCCATGCAATGAAAAGGGGGAAAAACTGAAAAGGGGAGAAAAGAGTGTTTGAGGGGATTTTTTTTGGGGGGGAGGGTGGGGAGAGGGGTGGTGTGGGGTGGGGGGCAGTGGTGGTGGTGGTGGGGGGGTGGTGGGGTGGGGTGGTCGATATGAGAAACGTAAACACACACATGCACACACACACACACACACACACACACACACACAAAAATAATATCACAGGGAAGGTAGGATTTGATTATAACATACCTCTGGGCGGCCGTGTTAGCATCCACTACCCCAGCAGTGTGCATCCATGATCGAACCGCATTCATCCCACTTCCAAGCGGTTCCTCTTTCATGGTCGTCCCACCTCTTGGTATATTTTCCTGAATTCCAAACATTAAAACAATTTTTTTTCCCCTGCCCAAACCAGCTCCTGCACGGTATTGTTTTTTTTTAAAAAAAAGAGAGAAAGGTTCTAGGAGATGTCAGGTTGTTGTCGGTATTTTTTTTTTTTTTTGGTTTTGTTTGGGTTTTTTTTTGTGTTCTTTCTGTTTTTCCTCTCCCCCCACGGCGAATGGAAGGGGGGAATTAGATGAGAGATGACTTCGCTCGTTATGATCAGGAGGTGGAAGAGGAGGAAGAGGAGGAGGAGGAGGAGGAGGAGGTGGAGGAGGAGGTGGAGGAGCAGGAAAAAGAAGAAGAAGAAGAAGAAGAAGAAGAAGAAGAAGAAAAAAAAGGCGAGTTTCAGTTCAGACTTCTTCCTCTTCAAGATGTCCTGTGTCGGCGCGACATAAACAATTTCAAGAGTACTTCAGCGCTAGTTGGATCGTGATCCGTGGTGGAGAAAAGTGCAACTAGCGGGACATTCGGTTTAAGAAGTAAAAAGGAAAAAAAAAATGTTGTTTGTTGATGTTGTTCTCTCTCAGTGCGGTGTCATCCTACTACACGCATCAAAGGTATTCTGCTTAGGACACTGCTGAATCCACCACTTCTGACACGGTTCTCCTGCTCCAAAAGACAAATAAACGAAAAATGATTACCATAGAGGTGTTCCTGGACACAGGAGAGGTTGATTAGGGCCTTTAGCGTCTCACAGAATGGATGGAAGCATACAAACTCAGCTCTCTTTCCCCGAGGAATGGATCTTTCCCGGGAGCCAAAACTCTAAACCCCCGGGACCAACGCTGACAGAATCTGACGTTTAAGGGAGGAGATAGCAGCCATGTATGGATGTCTGATTAACATACCCAATCCGAAAGCTCTGAGACCTGCGATTGACAGCAACAAACTGAGTGCTTTGGTGAGCTGCCTTCCTTTTTTAAACCCCCCCCTCCCCTCCCACCCCCACCACTTCCCTCCCTCCCTTTCACTCTCCTCCTCCCCCTCCCACTCCCCCCTCTCTCCCCACCTTCAATTCTCTCTCCCCTCTCTCTCCTCTCCCTCTCTCTCTCCTCTCTCCCTCTCTCTCCCTCTTGAACCCAAATTGACAACCAATAAAATTAAATAAAAGAGTTGTTATTAACATAATAAATCCTCCAGGAAAAAAAAATAAACATACCAACAAATGGGAACTGTTTGTCTTCAAACAGAAATCGACTAGTCAGAAAATGTTGTACACTGAACACAAACTGTGTGATGGGGTGTGTGTGGGGGTGGGGGGGGTGGTGGTTAGGGGGAAACTCAGCCATATGAATGGGACCTGACGAGTACGAATTAAAACACACACACGCACACACACACACACACACACACGAGAGAAACTTGCAGTCCGAAGTTTGAATTGAAAGTTGTAAAATAAACCAGAGCACTGTCACGTTTCAACACAAATTGCTTTTTAAGTAACGTGGGGCAAATGTTGTCACATTGCTTACAGAACCTACACCAGAAATGTATAGCACAAGGGGTTGTTTCCAACAAACGGAAGTTTTGTTTTGTTTTGTTTTGTTTTGTTTGTTTGTTTGTTTATTGAAAGCTGCACGTTGTTTCCAGACAGAAAACCGCTTTTTGTTTTAATGCTCCTTCCAGTTTGGTGACTTTGCGTTGTGTCGCATCTCCATGTGGTCCGGTTATCAACTCACGTTTAAAGGATTCTCTCGGAAAGTCCCGCTGGAAGAATAGTGCGAATATTAAAAGTATTACCGGTCTCAGAAACAACATAACGGTTTGCCTTGCGGGATGTATATGGGGTGGGAGTGTGTGTGTGTGGGGTGGGGGGGGGGACATGCAGGGAAAGACTTTAGATGCTTTGAACACGTGCGATCATTAGGAATTCCTGAAGATCAACATGCATTTCTAACTAGGTTTTTTGTTGTTGACTAAAAACTAGTCTTTCAGAGGTATTAACTGGTGCCCAGAGGAAGGGACTCTGGGGAAGGAGACTGCCCTGTGCTTTTTACTAAAGGTAAGAGCCCAGGCTAGAGAGAGAGAGAGAGAGAGAGAGAGACAGTGTGTGTCTGTGGGAGGGAGAGAGAGAGAGGGAGAGAGAAAATCAAGGATAGCCACTTAATGATCAGCTCTTTTTCCTCGTACGCCTTAGCACTTTGATTCTTTTTTTTTTGTCAATTGGCACCGTATGTACGCTAATATTTTAATTAATCGGTGAAAATCGAAGTCCGAATTCTGTTATCAGGGGACACCATAACACTTGAATTTCAATACTCCGCTGAGGGTGAGAAAGAGATGTGTTAGAGTAATCTATTTTCTGGTGTTGAGGGTTAATGACTATTGCGACAGATAAGTGAATTATCAAAGCTGTTGCTATTCCGATTTCAAAATCCATTACATTGCCGGAGTCTAATTAAATACGTAAGTATAATAAAATCATATTTTATGACGATTGGAAGTAATAAGATTAGTCTTCAGAAGCAATCACCAAATACTAAGATACCATATAGATTTACAGAAACCTTATACTGTATTTTTGAAAATCAAAATGCGCAGGAAATCTGTGCATAATAAATAAAGGGGATTCTGATTTGTGGGGAAGCATTGTCATATCGGCAAGGAACAGCTGTATTATTTACAAATTTATTACATTTTAACCCAAAATTAAACGTGAGTTATAGCTAAATAAATATTGATGCTTTTTTTTTCACAAAGAGGAATTTTGAAACCTGTCAGCAATTTAGACGTATTTGAGATCTGCTACAGTGGAAGTTATGCTTATATGCAAAAAACACTGTTTGATTGTATGTTGACTTCAGTATTTCATAACTGCAGTAACGTAACCTAAGTGCTTGCAACATTTGCTCTACAAACAAAAATAAGTATTTTTTTGGAGTAAAATAGATTTGTATGAATCATTTGTCAAATGTTCTATATATATATATATATATATATAGATGGGTTTCCCCTTAAAATCTGTTAAACGTGTTTTGCACCAAGTCACTTACAGTGCTCTTATACCAGATTACACGCGCCGAGGCGATTTAAATCTGATTACCAAATTATAGGGTTTTAGCCAAATCCTTTTAAAACTGATACCGTTGACTGTAAAACATGTCCTGAAAAGTTCCGCACCACCGTCACACAGGCTACGATCCTGCTAAAGCCAAAGAGTTTTAAAACGTATTTGACAACAAATGCAGCTGCACCACTATTTTTTGAAGATATTAGGCGAAAATTAATGCAAATCTGTGTTCAGAAGCCATCTGGCCAGAATAGGGGAATCAGCTGTTCCTCACAACAGGGTTTGGGCTGAATATATTTCACTCATTTTCTATTCTCATCTGGTAAGGGGCGAGGGGTGCTCCAGACGATAGCGTGGAAAATACAGCCTTTATCATCCACCCCAAATTTACCATTTTGACAAACTGTTTGCAACAACCCAAATTTAATCGAGGGAAAATGTGACGACTCCGTATTGACACAACAATTTACTGCTGCCATTTCTTATAGGGGAAGGGTTGCATAAAAAGCTTTTCAAACTTCATTTCTTCAATGTAAAGTGACTTTTGCGTTCAGACAAACGAGTTTCTCGCATTTTGAAGGCGTTTTCAATTTTTCTAGATATCCTTTGTGCTTAGCAGGGGAGGAATTTTTAATGGTATATCCACATTGAATGTTTCTACTTCACATTGAAAACCTCAGTAGCGTTTGCACGCCTTTGCTTCTCTTTTTTTTTGGGGGGGGGGGTTAAAAAAAAATCATCCATCCACAACCTTACCAGGCAGGATTATATAGAACGATCCACTCGCTTAAAAAAAAAGTGAACCCGTGTAACTATGTTTAAATAATTTACTAGAATGGGATAGCATAATGAGCCAGACAGTTTTATGAGCTGTTTGTTGTCAAATATTGTGTGAATTATCAGTGTGTGTGTGTGTGTGCGTGTGCGCGTGTGTTTTTATACAATATAGATATATTAAAAAAAAATCATATTGAATGGTAAAGCGCAGTTGTGTGGCAAAATACTGGATGAATTATCTGGATTCTTAGTTGGGGAGTGAGCTCAGCAAAACCGCTGCTGGACAAAGAAAGGCAGCCAGAAGCTTGCGGGTTTGAATGGGATTTGCATGGGTCCAGTCAAAGACCTTCCGAAGTAACGATCTTCCTTATTATGTGAAGTGTTCCTTTTGTAAATTTACGGTGAGGGCTTTGAATGGTACACAGAATTTGCATATAAATAGCGACATCAAGCGATTCGCGTGCCACACACCAGTGGTCTCCCAGATGTCAAGCCAAAGTCAGTCAGATGGCTACTGCCCAGCCCCACGTCTCCCCGCGCCAGCTGTCCTCTCCTCGCCATCATACCACAGCACAGACACACACACACACACACACACACAGAGCGTGGGGGGTGGGGGGTGGTGGTGGGGGGAGAATCACAATTGCAAACACTAGACACACGGTGCTTTTCACCAAATCTTCAGCTTTAGCCTTTTCTTTAGGCTGCAACCCCGTTTTTTTTTTTTCCTCTCCCCACCCCCCCCCCTCCCCCCCATCGACCACCAACACCCCCCCCCCCCCACCCCCAAACGCCCTTTCTCTCTCTCTCTCTTTCTCTCTCTCTCTGTGTGTTGGCAGTTGATTGCCTTTGTTCAGCTTAGCAAAGTGTACTGGTTTCGGATTTCACTCCAAAAAAAAAGTAAAACGCTCTCTTGGACAACTGCAGACCCAGCCAATCGCAGATATTTACAAGTTTGCATTCGAGAGAAACGATGAGACCTTTGCTGAGACTTTTCGTACGTGAAATGGACGTGGTGTGTTTTTTTTAAAAAAAAATTCCCAGAGAGAAAACAGTGTCCACTTTCTTTCGAAATAAACATGTGCGCGTTCCACCAACACTTAGCGCGTTCAGAATAAAAAAAAACCTGGCAGTTTTCAGATAGAAAGCAACACATTGCAGTGTCCTCCACACCCCCCCCCCCCCCCCCAACCCCCCAAACTTACCGTCTAAAAATGACACAATGGATTGCAATAAAACTAGTCTCGTGTAGTGTGAGGCGATAACGGTAAAGGAAACGTATCAAGTCAAGTATTGGGATAATTTCCGCAGTGTGCAACATAATTGTCTGTTGAGGTTTTACAACCACTTATTAATCGACCGCAAATCATTTTCCAACGTGCATTATATAATCCGATCCGTGCTTTTTCTAAATTGGTTTTGTTCTAAAAAAAAAAGTTGTCTCCAGTTGACTCTGAAGCAACATCCCTGTTAGAAAGGACACGT